ACACAGGGAGTTAGCCTGGCCTATACTTTAACACTTGCTGGATCCAGGGGTTAGGATGATCTTACATACAGGCTACTTCCTCCCCCCCCCAAAAAAACCCCACCACATAACACTACTATAGTTGCCAAATGTCACTTGAAAATATGCAATTTACACACTGTTTCAGCAGGGCGAAATGTGAACTGAGACACCACCTTTTACTCCAGTCTTGTCAACCAACTAATGGCAGGAAGTTCATGTTGGCAATTCTGATGCATTTTTATCTATTAAAAAAATGTGGTATCTGTGTTTTATTTTGTTGTTGCTGCTGCTATGTGCTGTTTTTGCTGCTGTTTTATTGAGAGGACTACTTGTCATTTTCTTGTATGCTTTTAAATTAAGCTGCCTTGGGTTTGTTTTTTTCTCCATTCTAAGGTGGGATAAAAATGGGGTGATAAATACATACAGTGGTGCCTCGGATTACATACGCTTCAGTTCAGGTTACAGACTCCACTAACCCAGAAATATTACCTTGGGTTAAGAACTTTGCTTCAGGATGAGAACAGAAATCGTGCTCTGGCAGCGGGAGGCCCCATTAGCTAAAGTGGTGCTTCAGGTTAAGAACAGTTTCAGGTTATGAACGGACCTCTGGAACGAATTAAGTACTTAACCCGGGGTACCACTGTATGTATGCATTATATTCATTGGCAGCCAGGAGGTGGCAGTAAAGCATAATAGGAATTGCCTTTTCTGAACTGAAAACCAGTTGAACCTCCATCGGTGCTAGTGATAAATCAAATATGAGGAGTGGCATGTGCTTTGCTCAGTGGTGAAGAAAAGAGCTCTGCCTGTTATTCCCAGCATCACGATGCTATTGCTAAGAATTAGGCTTGCTAATTATAGTTTCCTATAGAGGTATTTATGCCTGGTGTGCATGTCATGAGAAGAAAAATGTTGCACAGGGAGAGAAGAAAAAAAGTGAAGGGGAAAACAATCGCAGGCCAAAAATATAGGACTATGTAATTCAAGGATGGCAAACTTGTGGTCTTCCAGACTTTGTTTGACTCCAAGCCCCATCAGCCCCAGCTAGCACAGACAATGGTCAGGGATGATAGGATTTGTAGTTCAGGAATGTCCAGAGCCTACAGATTCTCCATCCCTGAGGTCCTCCAGATGTTTTGGCCTACAACTCCCATGATCCCTAGCTAACAGGACCAGTGGTCAGGGATGATGGGAATTGTAGTCCAAAACATCTGGAGGGCCAAAGGTTGGGGATGCCTAATTTGGGCTGTAAAAGAGTAGGCTGAGAGGAGATATGATAGGCATTGTCAAATATCTCAAGGGCTGTCACGTGTGCAAGAAGGAGCAAGCTTGTTTTCTCTTTTTTTTTTATAAGATATTTACTGAGATTTTCCAAATGTTACAATATAAAAATGAAAAAAAGGAAAAAAAGAAGAAAAAGAAAAAATACAAAATACAAAATAAAAATGATTAAAAACCACTCAATTTTTCCATTACTTATTTTTCCTTAGCTTGTTTCCCGGACCTCCTCATACCTCCCTTTTTGTATTCCAGTTCAATTTGTTGGTTCAGCAAATCCTTACCCTCTTTGTTTATCCTAATCTTTGGTCTTAAAATAGTAACGTTAGATTTTTACCTATTAACAACCCATTTTTCATATTCCCTTAAAGCATTACAGCTGGAAACCACTTAATTTCTATCCAACATCATTCTAACATTCATTAATTTTACAATATTTCTGTAGATAGTCTTTGAATTTCTTCCAATCTTCTTCCACTGACTCTTCTCCCTGGTCTCGGATTCTGCCAGTCATTTCTGCCAGTTCCATATAGTCCATCAGCTTCATCTGCCATTCTTCCAAGGTGGGTAGATCTTGTGTCTTCCAATACTTTGCAATGAGTATTCTTGCTGCTGTTGTGGCATACATAAAAAAAGTTCTGTCCTTCTTTGGCACCAATTGGCCGACTATGCCTAGGAGAAAGGCCTCTGGTTTCTTCAAAAAGGTATATTTAAATACCTTTTTCAATTCATTATATATCATCTCCCAGAAAGCCTTAATCCTTGGGCACATCCACCAAAGGTGGAAGAATGTACCTTCAGTTTCTTTACATTTCCAGCATTTATTATCGGGCAAATGATAAATTTTTGCAAGCTTGACTGGGGTCATGTACCACCTGTATATCATTTTCATAATATTCTCTCTTAAGGCATTACATGCCGTAAACTTCATACCTGTGGTCCATAACCAAGCTTGTTTTCTCCTGCTCCCGAGGGTAGGACCCGTACCAATGGATTCAAGTTACAAGAAAGGAGATTCTGACTAAACACCAGGAAGAACTTTCCAACAGTAGGAGCCGTTAAGACAGTGGAATGGACTTCCTTGGAAGGTGGTAGACTCTCCTTCCTTGGATGTTTTCAAGCAGAGACTGGATGGCCATCTGTCATGGATGTTTTCATTTTCATTTTCATTGAGATTTCTGCATTTCAGGGGGTTGGACTAGATGACCCTCAGAACCCCCCAACTCCAGAATTCTACAAAATCAGCATTTAATAAGTTTGTGTCTGTGCTAGCTAAATGCACCCGAGTACTTACTTATCTGCAATAGTATACTTTTTTTGGCAGTGCTCCAGCAGCTATAAAGCTATTTCCCAGACAAGAGCTCTTCATGGCACAGGGCACTAGAAAACACCTTTCACACCCTTTTGGACTGCAGTGAAAACATCAGAGTTTATTTCTGAGTAAATATGCATAGGATCAGGCAGCATGTCTATTGACCGGAAGACAGTACTATACCTTTGCAAGATTTGCTTCAGGGAGTGGAGCACAAGGCCAGCAGCTGCGCCAGTATTTGCTCTCTTGGATTATTAGCACTCCAGATTTGCCTGTAACTAAGGGAGAAATCAGGCTAAAGGCAAAACCAAACAAGTCAGGCGGACTAAGGTGTGTTTTTGTTTTCAAAAGGTTTGCACGCACTAAAGTTTGGAAGCCTTTCTCTGTATGTTTGCATAACTCCCCACCCTGCATCAAATTGCCTTTCAGCTGCCTACAAATTTCCCCTTCTGGAATAAGATTCCCTTCCCTATTTGCCATCAAAAAATTGAGTTTAAATCTTTAAAATGCAAAATGATCAGTGCAATTGTCAGGACCAAAGCACAGCTACGCAGCCTCAGAAAGTTTTCCCAGACAACATCAGGAAGAACTTTCTGTCAGTAAGAGCTGTTGGACACTAGAACAGACTCCCACGAGGTGGCAGACTCTCCTTCCTTGGAGGTTTTAAAGCAGATTGGATGGCCATCTGTCATGGATGCTTTAGCTGAGATTCCTGCATTGCAGGGGGTTGGACTGGATGACCCTCGGAGTCCCTTCCAACTCTATTCTACAATTCTACAATTCTATTATTCCATTAAATCAGCATCTAATAAGTTTGTGCCTGTGGTAGCTACATGAACCCGAGCACTTTCATTTGAAATATACTTTTTTTGTTGTTTTTTTGGAGTGCTCCAGCAGCTGTAAAGCTCTTTCCCAGAGTGGAGCTATTCAGGGCACAGGGCACCAGAACCCACCCTCACGGTCCCTTCCAACTAGGGTTCCCACCTTCGTTTTGGCAAAATACAGGCCAGACCTTCGAGGTTGGGTGGGGGTGATTTATTTATTTATGTTTGGTTCATTTGGTGCTGAAGTGGCTTCAAAACAATCCATTACCATCCATTGCAGCCTCATAGGATGGCCCCTCTGGGATTGGTCACATGCACACACAGGCACACAGGCACTCGAAGTTGTAAATTCGTCTGAGCTTCGCCACACAGAGACATGACTTTGTTTTGCACCTTTCAATCACATGCATTTGGATATGATCCCTAACTTGGGAGGGAGAGGGAGAGGGAGAGGGAGAGGGAGAGGGAGACGGAGGGAGGGAGAAAGAAAGAAAGAAAGAAAGAAAGAAAGAAAGAAAGAAGACTGACTCAGCTATACAGCTGCAAATAAAACGTTTTAAGTGTGTTTCAAGTGCAATATACAATGTGACATTAGATGGCGATGGTAAGCCTTATGGAAAATTCAATGTTTTTTTTAAAGAAAAGCATTTTCAGAACGGTTTTTATATGTGTGTAGATTCCACCCTGAAATACAAGACAAAAGTGTTAACATTTTACATTGAAAGTAGGGTTGCCTCTTTTTTGAAAACCCCTGAGTTGTTGAGTTTCTTTTAGGAAAACCCCAAAATTATTGAGATTTTTAAAAGATTTCACAATCGACGCTTGCCAAAGATCCAATATGAAGTGCTGCCTTTAGGAAATTGCCCCAGACATCAATTCTGCCTTTGAAATCCCATTAAATGGTAGCTCTTCTCCTAAATGTGACAATTCCATGATCCCAAAGCAAAACTTGAAAGGGCAGGCAGCCATGTCCAAAGTCCGCTTTGGGGGCCTAATCCGTCTGACTGTGGCAGTTTATTTCTTCTTGGGGTCAAATCCCCCCCCCCAAACTCAACAAGTTCAACCCTAAAAAAACCTCAACAACTTTGGTTGGCATGCATGTTCACTTCATCCAATTTGGCCCTCTTTGAAAAAAGGTTTGGGCACCCCTGTGCTAGGGAGTAAATCCCAATGAACTTAACAAGGCATACCTCAGGGAAATTCTTTTAAAAAGCTCAACAGCTAACAGTTTTGGAGGTTTCCTTTAAAAAAGCTCAACAATTGTGGTGGTTTCCTTACATTGCTTGCGCAAAGAACGATTCTTCAGATTCTGAATTTTGGGTTCGTCTTAAAAAGAAGCTTGACAACTCTGGGATGTTTTGAAAAGTGGCAACCATTGGCCAATTTGGGTTGGTTTCTGTGAGGGGGGGGAGAAAGCGCTCAACAATTGTGGCGGTTTCCTTAAAAAAACCCCCTCAAAACTCGACAACTTTCCTTTTTGCAATATGAACGCCCTATTCCGAGCAGGCTCTGAGAGAAGCGTTGCGCGTGGCCATTTGAGGGGAGCCTGTCGCAGGAGGCGGGCGATGGCGTTGGAGACGCGTCGTGAGAGGAACGAGGCGCGGAGAGAAGCAGCCCCACGGAGTTTTTCCCTCGGTCCGGTCCGCTTTTCTCCTCCGGGCGCGGAGAAGGGAAAAGCTCCGCCTTCGGACGACATGGCTACCTAACAGGCGGGCGCCTCGCTTCGCCAAAGAGCGCGCGCAGGGGCCGGACGAGGGAGGCGCCTGGGCCGGGAAGGAAGGACCAGCCCCGGGGCAGAGGCGCGGCGAGGAAGAGGGCGAAGCGGGCGAGCGAAGGGCCTTGGCGGGTGAGGCTGCTGGGGGCGCCGGCGGGGTGGGCGAGAAGGGGCTGGGCGGTGGGGGTGTAGCGCTGGGCTTCCGAGCCCCCCGGCCAGGCTCTTTGAACAATCATTTGTTTATTCGTTTTCAATTACAATCCAATCCTAGCCTCATTAGAACAACACCAGTTTTTTTAACGCAATTATTCACGCCAGTCGTTCAAATGCCGGATTATAGAATTTGGATAAGGTGGGGGGGGGTCCCCCACGTGCTAGAATTTTTAAAAAATCTTGATTGAAAGTTCCAAAAAGTACGCAATTATATGTGCGCTAAACATGGCGAGATGTACATAAAAGAGAAAGAGAACCCGTGCAGAAGGGAAAATAAAGGGGGGGGGGGGAGCGGGGAAAACCCAAAACTGCATATTTTATAAGGTGGTTTTTGTACTTCACCAGATCTTAACCTATTACAGTATTTGTAAGAACGGATTCCAAATATCATTGAATTTGTCCATGGCAAGTCTGCGTTTATGTGCAAAGTTGCTCATATGTTGCGAGTTTGTGTAAGTCTTCTAACCAATCGTAAGGGAGTCGCATTTTTATTTTTCCAGTTCCTTGAATGTCCCACTTTTCCTTACGATGTCCCTATTTTCACCAGAGAAGTGTTGGAGGCTATGGAGTTATCAAACCCCCCAGGCCATCCTGTATAGGGAAGTTTTTTTTTTTAAATTTATAATTAAATTTAAAAATAAAAAGTTTTTGTTTTAATATATGTTGTGCTGGGGCAACCCAGTAAGATGTGTTGGGTATAAAAGTACCATTATCCTTATGGAATGGAACTGTCCCTATTTTCATCAGAGAAATGTCGAAGGGTATGCATCTTGTAATTTCTTGTTATTTTCATTACTTAATTTCTGAAAATTAAGATCCATTCATGTCTCCCATCAAAATCATGTTATAATCCAAATAGTCCATCAAAGTCTCATGCAACTTCTTTAAAAAATCAGATTTCCCTTCATTTGGTGCGTAGATTCCTACTATCAAAAATTTTTCTCCTTGTGTTTGGATTTCAATTGCCACAAATCTTCCTTGGTCATCTTTAAAAATAAATTTCGGTGATAGTCTGTCCTTTGCATAAATCACAACCCCTCTTTTTTTAACTTTGTCCGATGAAATAAACTCCTGACCAAGTCTTTTATTTATCAACAATTTCCTGTGTAATCTTGTTATATGTGTTTCTTGTAGACAGATCAAATCCAATTGTTCCTTTTTTAATAAATGAAACACTGATTTCCTTTTCTGAGGGGAGTTCAAGCCATGACAGTTCCAGGTTAGTAGTTGCAGGGCCATGATGTAATTATTTTAGTTCTCCTCCAACAGCACCTAGTGCCTGTTCCTGTTCCGTCGGTGGTATCACGTTTTTCAGGCGGTCTTTAAGTTCCAGAGATAGTCCTGGTATGTCTAAAGTTTCTCTTGCTATTGCTATTGCTATTGCTCTTAACTCTCCTGTGACTTTCTTTTGTAGGTCTTCTCCGTGGTCTCTCCAGAATTTGTCTTTGTCGTCTTCCGATCTTATTTTCCTCTTCTTTCCTTTGTAGCTAAAAGATAGGCCTTGAGGAAATTCCCACCTAAAGTTAATTCTATTACTTCTCAACAAGGTGACCAGGTCTTTGTAGTTAGATCTGAGATCCAGAAGGTGTTTCGGAATGTCCTTAAATATCTCCACTTTTGTCTGATGTATTTCCAGTGTCTTCTGGAAATGCAAACCCAAGATCTTGTCCCTCTCTTCTTTTGTTCGGAGAGTAATCAGACAGTCTCTCACCTTCTTTCCTCCTCCTTTTCCAAGTCTAAAAGCATTCACTATTTTGAAACTGTCTTTTACCAATTCTGGATTCCAAAATCTAAGAATTCCTGTGTAAGAAAATCAACTAAGTTGTCTTTCTCCACTTCAGGTACTGCTCTGACCCTTAAGTTCACTTGTTTCTCCTTCAACTCAATCATAGACAGAGTTAACTTATGGTCTTCAAGTTGTTTATGTAGCGGTGGTATCTTCTCTTGAACCTCTGCAACAGAAGCTGTAGCAATTTCTTTAGCCTCTTCGGCAATCTGACGTGTTGAGGCCGATTCCTCTAATAGTTTCTGGATAGTCTCTGTATTAGTATTTACTTTCTGTCCCAAATTATTTAAACTTACTGTATTTTGATTAATACTTGTTGTATTTTGATCAATCTTGTCTGATGCCTCTGCTACTTGTTTGCTTATTCTATCCAAAGATTCATTAATTTTAGCCAAAACCTGAGCAAAGGCGTCATCACTTGCCATACCTTTAGTTTTAGGTTGTGCCGATGGGGCTGCTATTGGAACCCCAGAGGGGCCAGAGGTCGAAGCTCTTCTTTGCAGTCCACCGTCTGTTCGCAATACTCTGCCCGACCTTGTTGCTTGTAACGACTCTAGTTTCTCTTTCCCATCTGCCATACCCCTCTAGATAAAACTCAAGGTCAGTCACACGGTTAAATTCAAAATTGTTTTGAAGTGGAAAGTTCCAAGAAGACAGTGTGGGAAATTCCTCAGGCCAGCTGCAATTGTAACTAGTTGTAACAAGTTCCAAATTCCACTAGGGGGACACTGTAACAGTCATAAAGTTCTTAAATACTTTACTTCTTCCTTAAGTCCCCAATGGGGGATACATTTTTCATTGGCTGTAACTGTCTCTTCTGATTTCCTTTGGTAGGCGGGCCATTGCTGAGGGGTCCAAAACACACGCCTTGCATGCAGATGTTACTAGATTTAACACCTTTCATTTCCAGTTAAAAATGGATCTCATACAATGGAGCTGGGAAGGGAAATCATGGAATGCTGCTGTCAATAAAAGTAGACCGTACTAAACTGGATGGACCAATAGTCTCTAAGACAGCTTATCATGCCAATATGGTAAAAATTAGACGTTTATGAGGTTGCTTTTGAAATGCATGTTGCATTCTTCTTATAACTGTCTTTTCGTTTTAGGAAACTCACATTTTACTGGGAGTCATATTTGCTGGCAACATTATCAGGAGCTATGACTTCTGCCCCAGGTGATGATAAAGTTCAGGCCTCTTCGGTAGGACAAAAGAAGCAGGTTTGTTCTTTCTGTTTGGAATTATTATTATTATTATTATTTTACATTCTAGCAGAGGCAAATCTGATGTAGTCTTGATTATCACGTGGAAACAGAAGGGGCTGTGCACTTCAACCTTTCCCTTTTCTAGTGCAAAAAGTACTCCACATAATGCAGGTCTAAGGATAAGGAGGAGGCAGGATAGCTTTGCCTCTCATGGAAAGTCGAAGATCCCACAAACCCTGGGGAGATTAAATAGGATTCAGCTTAATTTTATGCTGCTAGCAGTTAAAGAACCGTAGATAATGATGCTCATATCTTACCTTGCACGTATTTTTGGCTCAAAGTAAATAGATGGAAACATAATCTGCACCTGCTAGGGGAAAGGGGAAGATGGAATTATGTAGCATCTGAACAAAAAGGGACTTTAAAAAGAAACCCTTTAAAGCAGGGGTGACGCTGGGAGTCTGTGGGTTTCCTGATGTTGTTGAACTGTCAGCCCCAGCTAGCACTGTCAGTGCTAAAGGATGATCATAGAATTGTAGAGTTGGAAATCCCAGGGGTCATCTAGTCCAGCTCCCTGCAGTGAGGGAATCTGAACTGAAGCATAGATGACAGGTGGCCATCCAACCTCTGCTTAGAAACCTCCAAGAAAGGACACCTGAAGGACCACACATTTCCCCTCCATTATTAGCACCATTCATTACTGCTGCATTTTAAACTTCATAGCACCTGTGATTTGCAAATTAATCACAAACAAGTACATTATAGTCAGAGTGCACCATCAAGTTTTAAAGCTTGATCATTTCATTTTGACATTGCATGCTTGATAGGATTGCTAACGACAATGGTAGGATATTTCTAACATTTTTGTGCTATCTGGAAAAGCGAAATGTTTTCCTCTCTGTCTATTTTTTTTGTTGAATTTTTAAAAAAATGGAAGCCAAAGATAATGAAATAAACGGCAGACGATAGATGCTTTATACTCTTAAGGAGTGAGAGGAGGGTAAACCATATTTTTCTTATAAAAGTGTTCATGTTTTTATTTTAAGAGCCAGCTCCCTTGTCCAATCTCAAATCTTAATTCTGATGAATTTGTAAAGATTCGTCGTCAATGTAAAGAGGAAAGCTTCTGGTACAGAGGTAGGTCTATTTGTTTTTAATGAAATACAAAATATAATTGCATTGGTTTTTTGTTGCAGGGTGTTGTCTACTGTGATGGGATTATGAGCTGCTTGTGCGTAAAATCGTATTCCCTCAGAGTTTGTTCAAGTCCACAAACCTCTGTCTGTGACTGAGCCCCTCTGACATGGCTCCTCTAGTCACTAGAAGATTCCGACAGTGGTTGCTTTCGTAATCGCTTCCAACATAAAAGCTCCTTAACGGAAACACGTCTTCTGGACTCTCTGCGTGACAGTTTCCGGCGAGGAGTGGGTGTCGCTACAGGAGGTCCGGA